GCCACAAGTTACAACATAATTGGAAATATTACTATCCAGTTTCAAACTTAATTATATTGTAAAGTGACATTAAATATGTGATATGATAAAGACTATCTGAACAAAATCAAAAGCTTCCTTTCACTTAATACAATTTAATACACATTTGTGACATTTTCATTTTGATTGAAGAACCTCTGCTGAATGTTTGTTTTTTGGTTTTGATAGTCTGGTGTGCAAATCCCCAAATGCCCAGCAGGTGGCAAAGTAGGTATACTTAAAGATTACAGGAAAAAGCCCCACAAATCCCCAAATAAAAGATACATGCAATATTACAGTCTCCCTTGAAAGTAAGATTTTTATTATATTTAAACAGTATTCAAAGGATTAAACATGCTGAAAACAAGGTGTTGGATGGTACTTCCTTTCATCTAGGTGGTCCACTGTTGTTAGAAAGGATATGAAGAAACTGTATGTGCATTCTTAGATTTAGTGTGTCTTTAGGAACCCTGTTTATGTGCATGAAGAATGTTTCACCTCTCACTGGCATAAATAAATGATAGCAAATTTCTCTTTATCACGTAAGCACAGAACTGGGAGACAGAAATTCCTAGTTCTAATCCTACAGTTACCACTGATTCTGCCTCTCTACTTCAGTATCATAATATTTACATATACTACCTACATTGTTCACAGGAAGTTGCAAAGACAGATTAGTTAATGTTTGCTAAGTACACTGAAGATGTATCACTGCCAAACAATACCATCATTAGACACCTCCAAATGCACACTTGTTATGATCAGTTCATCAATGCTATGAACCATTTGTATAAAACAAAAACTCATCTATGAGCCAATAGCACATAAACTGCTCATCAGCTGTTGACAAATCAGTGACACACCCTTCTATCTGGCAGCTTGCATATTCTTATGTTCAATAAAAAGATATTCAGACACTCAGCAGCCATAAATCCTCTGTATTTACCTGAAAATTTCTATGAAAATCACCCAAGATGACTTTAATGTTCATCTGAGAGCATGAAAAACAATCAGTTTTACATCTAAATTAATATAATCGATATACAGTTCTCTTCACTCAGGATACAGTATGGGATGTGACAATATAAAAGCTGTGACTTAATGTTATGAATATATACCTAATTTATTACCTTGTATGTGCTGGTGTTATGTTTCCACTAGTAACTCACTGAGTTAATAGCATTCAAATTAACTGTTTTACTATTCCCCAGTGAGTACTGCAAACATCCCATCATTGCATTTTCTTGGCACATTTTTACAAATAGTAATTTATTAAGTGATATTCATATGTACATGGTTTTTCTTCCTAACAGGTATTATTTTAATCACACATAACTCACACTTTGTGCGTGGGCACTTTTACACGGTAACAGTTTATGGAACCAGGTGATGTGATTTTTCCCCCCTTTTAGGGTAGGGATGGCATGCTTGATTTTAGTCAAACTCTTTGGCAGCCTTGAACTTTGTGCTTGCATTATATTGTGGCTCTCAACCAAGAATCTCATGCTACTTAAACATTAATAAATTACACCCCACAACCCCGAGAGAGATTTGCTCAGTTTTACAGATGAGGAAAACAAACAGATTAAGACGTTTGCACTGACAGCAAATTGGCAAAGCTGAGGGGGAAGGGAGGAATCCAGGAATCCTGGCTGCAATTCTCTCCTCCAACCACTAAAAAGATGCATCCCCACTCTTATAACTGCTATGCTACTAAATGTGCTAAGTAAGGTTGCACTTTGGCTTTCAGGTTTGCTATAAAACCTATACATTCCTCTTGGCTTAGGGAGGATGAGGTTTAGATACCACTGCACATTTGCTCAATGTTACTCTACCACAGGGGCGAGCAAAATACGGCCTGCAGGCTGGATTCAGCCCTTTCAGGTTTGCTATAAAACCTATACATTCCTCTTGGCTTAGGGAGGATGAGGTTTAGATACCACTGCACATTTGCTCAATGTTACTCTACCACAGGGGCGAGCAAAATACGGCCTGCAGGCTGGATCCAGCCCGGCAAGCCACTGGATCTGGCTCGCAGAAGCCTCAGCCAGGCTCTCTGCCCACATGCGGCTCAGAGCAGCTCTCTGAATGCTGCAAGCCTGGTGGGAGGCAGGAGAGAGGCTTTGCACACTGCTGCTGCCCCCAGCACAATCTTGCAGCTCCCATTGCCTGTTTTCCAGCTAATAGGAGCTACGCAGGCTGGATCCAGCCCGGCAAGCCACTGGATCTGGCTCGCAGAAGCCTCAGCCAGGCTCTCTGCCCACATGCGGCTCAGAGCAGCTCTCTGAATGCTGCAAGCCTGGTGGGAGGCAGGAGAGAGGCTTTGCACACTGCTGCTGCCCCCAGCACAATCTTGCAGCTCCCATTGCCTGTTTTCCAGCTAATAGGAGCTACCTGTCTGTAGGACAGGCAGTGCATGAAATATCGTCCCCCTCCGGGCTCACAGTATTCACAGCTGTATATGGCTTCTGCAGCTGGTGCAGGAGTATAGAAGGCAAGAACCCTGGCTGAGGAACTTGCTGGGCACACCAGCCCCTCCCTCCCACAACCTTCTGCCCCTCTCCTGCACCCCAATCCCCTGCACTCCTGCCCCAGGTCACCACCCCTCCCAGACCCTGCACCTCCTCCTGGTCACAACCCCCTCCCAGGCCTTGCAATCCAATCCCTTAACCCTGGTCACAACTCAGATCCCTGCATCTCCTCATGCATTTCTGCCCCAGCTGACAACCCCCTCCCAGACTCTGCACCCCATCTCCAGGTCAGACTCTACTGCAGTGTTTCTCAACCTTTTTTTTCAAGTACCCCTTTTAAAAAAAATTATAAGTACCTCCAGTACCTACAGTTTTCAGACACACCATTTTTTTTCTACCATTGCAACACATTTTTTTAAACTATGTAATTGTAAGGCGAGCGATGAATTTTTTGAATGTAAAAAGTACAAAAATAATAAAGCCTGTAAAACTTAAACCAAAAATTCAGTTTTCTCCAAATTTCAGTTGTGTTGACGTTCCTCAAGACCTCTCTTGAGTACCCCTGAATGTACTTGAACCACTGGTTGAGAAACACTGGTTTACTGAATCTAGGCTTGCATAGTTATTGTCATAAATCATGTTACAGATCAGTTTTTCAAAGAAATGCAAGAGAAATAGATTTGGGGCACCTATTCATCATTATCAACTGTTAATTTGTTACTTTATGCATAGAGGAAATTAAAGTATTGCTGCTTAATACCCTTTAAAAAAAATTATCAGTACCTCCAGTACCTACAGTTTTCAGGCACACAGCATTTTTTTCTACCATTGCAACACATTTGTTTAAACAACTTCATTGTAGCCGGGTGGGCGATGAAATTTTTGGGTGTAAAAAATACAAAAATTATTAAAGCGCTGTAAAACTTAAAACAAAAATTCATTTTTCTCCAGTTTTCAGTTGTGTTGATGTATCCCCCAGACTACTCTCAAGCACCCCTGAGGGTATTCGTACTACTGGTTGAGAAACACTGCTCTATTGCACCCATACACCCTCCTGGAGTCTGCACCCTAGTCTCCTGCACCAGGTCATGACCTCCTCCTTCACCCAAACTCCCTCCCAGACTCTACACCCCCTCCTGCACCCCAATCCCTTACCCCAACCTGCCTTCTGCACCCAAACTCTATCACAAATCCCATACCTCCTCCATTAATATCATGGAAGACCGCAGCCCGTGACAACTTACCAAATTCTTCGAGTGGCCCCTCCCAACAAAAATTATTGCCCACCTCTGCTCTACCACCTACCCTCGCCAAATTGTGCTGGACATATGAAACAAATGTATTTTGCTTTCTGATGAATAGAGAAATAGTTGAATACAGGAAACTTATTTAATCATTAACCTTCCTAGACCAGAAATCTGAATTCCTTGGGGAACTTCTCTTTCCATGCTCTGGAAAAGACGGTCTGGTACATGATGAACGAAGGACCCTTTAATATCTGGGGAGAAAACCACATCTATTAATTACACTGAACGAGCGGAGACAGATAATCACCCTGAGCCTGGAATCTCCATATATGGGAGCTGACAAGGAGAGAGATCCCTAAATTTTAATTTGGCTGCAGAAAAATGTAACATAAGATGGTGCTGTACATAACCCCACCTCATTTCAGATAATCAATAGTTTTCCTTTTTCTGATGTCCATTATGTTAATGCCCAACATTTGTGTCACTAGCTGTGAGTCAGCAACAGTACTCAAAAAGATCTGTATCCCTACCTGGGGGATGTTTCTCCAGACAGTATTATTTGTACAATTTTTGCTGGAACATCACAGTTGGAAGAAGATGCCTGCTATAATCTAATTTGTCATTGATTTTATCTTATAACACTTTGCAGTTCTAGAGCACTTTCAAAGGAGGAATTTAAAGTGCTTTACAGACAGACCGATTCGCCCCCACGACCCGTGATGAAGTTAATATTATTGTGTCCTTTTGCAGATGGGGTCATGAAGCCCCCTTTCATCTCAGGGGGCCTCATGATCAGCGGTGGGCAACCTGCAGCCGGTGGCCCACTGAGGTTCCACCTGTGGTCCATGGACACCCTATCTGCCCCCCTGCTGCACATGCCTCTCGCGCACTGGGGCACCAGAGCCCCAAACGTCCTACTTGGCCCCCTCCCTCCCAGCACTTTTGGAGCGCCATGAATTAGTGCTCCATCCCTGCTCTTCCCCCTCCCTCCCATAGCTTGAAAAGCTGAGGACTAGCTCTGGGAGGGAGGGAGGGAGAGGAGCGGAATTTCTGGGGGTGTGCTTTTTTTGTAACTATGGACCACAAGGGTGTGAATACACCCCCCAACCCCCGCCTTCCCCTGGCTGGTCAGAGCATGGGGGAGGAAGGCTCGGGCAGCGTGCTGCTCTTGCCTTCCCCTGGCCGGCTAGAGCATCCTTACTTAGGAGACCCTAGGGGGTGCTTTCACACCCTGCATCCCCCCCATGTATGGGCCTGCCTTTAAACATTCTGGAGCTCTGTACCATTATACATACAGATATCTAAGGCCCAGCTCCAAAGCAGTGTTCTGACAGCCCGCAGCAGCATAAACCTTAGAACAGTCCAGATTTGAAAATCTTACCAAAGATCCTGTCCTTCAGACATTTCCTTCCCCGTCTCCTCTCAAAAGATCAGGCAGGGTTGATTAGAAACGTGTGTCTGGTATATAAAGGTACACGGAGTATTGGAGGCTGTCTGGCAGGAAAAGGCACAGAATTATCCTTCATTTATAGATGCTGTGCATTGAGATACACCACCAGACTTACCCACCTTGCCCAGGTCCTTCAGGGCAGGCCCAGGGCATGTGGGGGTGTGCAGGTGGCTGGGAGCCAGGGGCTTGTTCTCCTCCCCACCAAACCACCCTACAACCTGCCTAGGGCCTGATCTCCTCACCCCCATGTCATCCCTCCAGCCCACCCAGGGCCTGTTCTTCCCCCCACCCCATGGCCATCCCCAGGGCCTGTTCTTTCCTCCCCAGGCTATTCCTTGGGGTCTGTTCTCCCCCCCAACCCAGGCCATTCCTTGGGGGCTGTTTCCCCCGGACATTCCTCAGGGCCTGTTCCCTGCCCTCCCAGGCCACCCCCCAGGGCCTGTTCTCCCCCTGAGACCATTCCCCAGGGCCTGTTCTTCCCCCGCCCCCTGGCCATTCCCCAGGGGCCTGTTCTCCCTCAAGGCCATTCCTAGGGGCTTGTTCCTTTTTCCCCCCAGGCCACCCTCTCCATCCTGCTCAGGGCCTGATTCCACCCCCCAGCCAACTCCTCCAGCCACCTGGGGCCTGGTTCCCCGCCCCGTGCACTGCCACCAAGGGCTGGGAGCAGGAAAGGGCTTGGGGCAGAGAGAATACTGCCTGCTGTGCTGGCAGGCAAGATGGCAGAGCCCCAGCCCAGCTCACCCCACTCCAATGCATCTCTTATCACATCCCTCCAAACAGCAGCCCCTCCCTTTGCATGTTATGGAAAACAGTCCCTGTCCTGGGACTTCCGGTTCTCCTGGCACAACCCAACCCTGGCCTTGCTTTACGTTAGGAGACGAGGAAGCTGCCTACCAAATTTGGTGGCCCCAGCTCTTAACATGTCATGGGAGTTCTTGAACAAACGGACTCACAGACAGACCCGCAGACAGACCCACAGACTCTAAAATATATATACAGCCGGTCCCAGAGTTACGAACGCATCAATTTACGACCATTCATAGTTACGACCAACTCCCATTAAGCGCATTACAAGCTGGTCCCCGAGTTACGAACGCAATCCGCACTTACGAACAGCGA